CATCTGGGGCTCCTCCTCTTCCTTCCTTCTTTCATTCTTTCTTTCATGCAGCAGTGGCAGTGGCAGTGGCAATGGCAACATCTTCAGGTCCAGCTTCATTGAAACAAGTTTCTCCAAGTGGAGTGACGGACATTTGGGCAGCACAGCAGCTCTCCTCCATGGTCCTCCATGGTCCTCCGTGGTCCCCCGCTTCGCCTGTGCTCCTGTGCACTTCTCTAGCAATTAAATGTCAAAAACTGTTTCTCTTCTCGCCTTCTCCTTTCAATGTAACTCAATTCCACTCTCAGATTTCTGAGATTTCTTTTCCCTCTGATTCCTCCTTGGCCATATTCTTTTTTTTTTAATATTTTTCCGCTGTGGAAAACTTGAAGAAAATAAGTTTTCAATGAATATAATTATGCAAAACAGCCGCCCAGTCGCACTCCACTTGGCTGGACCTTAAGAGGCTCTGGAAAAGGGACATTAAAATTATATGAAAGCTGCTTGGCGCAATTTAAATATTTCCACGCCTGCTTTTCGTTCATTTCCACGCTGTCATAATATTTTATTATTGCTTGTTTTAATTCCTTGTTTCATGATTTCACAATCTCTGCAGCTTTGGCTTTCCCTTTGGTTTTCCTTTATTTTCTTTCCTTTCTTTCGTTCTGTCATCTTTTTTCTGTCAATTGTCCTTCAGCGAAAAGTTTTTAATTTTCATCAAAAGATTTCTCTGGCTGCTGTTTTTAATGAAATTTTGTCCGCTTTCCCGTAAAGGATTGCTTCTGGTCGCGGGCCGTGGCAATGGGCGGGGCTCCGCCACAATTTGCATAATTTTTTATCAGCCATTTTTAATTTGCGATTTCGCGCAGTCGAGTGCGTGTCCTTAAGGAACTTTTCTCCGAAACTTCGCTCCTGTGTGGGAGCCTTTTTTTAATTCAAGTAATTTATGATCTTTTTGGGCTTTAAATGATATACGACCATTTGCTGGGGGTCTCAGAGGGGCAGAATCAAAACTCTTCAATTCACATTGTGCCATACAGCCGATATTTTGGCATAAATTCGAAGGAGAGACTTGAATTTGAGTACAGTTGGTTGTAATGTGCATAAGGACTGAGATAAATTTCTTCCTTATCCGGCCACGCCCACTCCTACTGCCCATATTAGGTTCAGCTTTAACTAGTTGTTGAGTTTTGTTGAATAATCCATTAGTATTGACGAGATTCTTTTATTCTTGTAGAAAATAACCATTAAAAATGCATCTCCTTGAGTTTTTCGCTGCCGCATATATAAGACGATTATTTTGTAATTGTTTCATTGTTTTTCTCCGTGCTTGAGCTAAACATATATACATATGCCTTCAGTTCCTTAAATATCAAGCTCGAAACAGTGAGAGCATTTCTATAATTATCAATCCAATATTGAGCAGCGCTTGTAGAAAAATTCATAGATGCATTTCTTGTGATTTAATGCCTGCAGAAAAGCAGTTTAATAGCCTGAGAGTCAGACATTCATTATATGACCGGTCATCGCTTCCATTAGATATAATTAAATGTACCATAGATTAGTCGCTCTCAGCCCTCCGTCACACCGGTATTATCGCTATTCGGCCAGCTCATAGGAGGATATTCTATCTTCTATCTGTCTGGGAATCTGGCAAATCATTTTAATTGCTTTGCCACTCTCGAGCCCTGACTCCTGCCTCCTGCAACACCCAGTCCCTGGCCAACACCCGGGCCTTAGTCTTTGTTGTTGTCGATTGTGTGCGGCGATAATAATTACACGTCACGCTGCCACGCAATCAAAACATTATTTGTGCAAAATCACGGAACTGAACTGAAGCGGAAGTGATGAAGGACTTATTGGCTGCACGCGTCCGTTGGCGTTGGGTTTGGCGACGGCGACGGCGTACTCGTCGTTGTCCTTCGCAAAAAAAAAGTTTAAAAAATATTTTGTAGCACCGTCCTCGGTCCCCGGTCCCCGGTCCCCGGTTCCCCCGGTTCCCGGTCCCGCACCCCATTTGCATTGCACCCAAGACTCATCCTGTACTCGTAGTCGTTTGGTCCTTTGGTCCTTCCGTCCCGTGTTAAATTCAACGCAACGCGTGCGGTCACGTGGCTGGGGGACACGCCCACTTTCATGATAGTCACAATCGGCAGCCGAGATTTAAACAAAACGTTGCCACCGCATCAAACGTCATTCATGGCTGATGGACTCCTTTTGGCAGCGCCAATCACTCAGCGGCAGCGGGAAGGAGAAACATCAGGCAGCAGGAAGGAGCAACGGAAAATCGTTGAAAATTATGTAAATTGTTTTTCGGGCGAAAAGGAAAGGAGTGCGAAAATTTGCCTAAATGCTTTATAGGCCTCCCCCAGCAGCGACAATGGGAAATGGGAACAGGTTCATCGGATGCTGCCCCAAATTGTTGCAGCAGGCGAAAAAAAGCCAAACAATGTGACAGAAACATATGTTGCCATCATCAACAGTTAAACGAGGGGACAATCCTTTGACAGGAGTCTCATAATTCGCAATGGATCACAGATTGTGGGAGCATTTGAGGTGGGTCTGGGAGGTGGCTTGTGCTGTATACTTCGCATATATTTTGGAATAGGTACGTATATTCTCAAGCTACTAGTATGTATATTTCAGCTTCAGAATGGCTTCCCATCCCCCAGCATCCGTTTAGAGACTCTTGCCACCCCATTTTTTGCCACAGTCCAACAGATCAATGGAAAGATATCATTTCGCATTTGTTGTATATTGCTTCCTGTCCACTATTGCCATATACATTTCATATTTTTCCCACCATTTCGTGTGACATCCATCCCCATCCCCATCCCCATCCCCTGTCCACATGCCCTGTGCCAGCCCCTTTGGACGACACACGTCCGTGGCAATAAAAGCGCAAACGTTTCAATTCCGTTGCGGCTGACAAATGCACGGAAAAAATGCCATCGTTTCTGCCCCAAATATATAGTATATATTATAATGATAAAAAGACAAACGGCAGAATACTGGGAACGGACAAAAGTTTATCTAGATGCTGTCGAGTGTTTTGATTTGTAACGTTTCTCACTTCATTATTATGCAATAAATAATGGCATCTACATGTCTCTCGTATAATATAATTCAGAGGGGCGAGAATGCAGAGGGTTGTTCTTGATGAAGGGTCGTGGTCGTGGTCGTGGTCCTGGTCCTCTAGGCAGCGGAAGTAGAGCGGAGCTGAATGGTCAGCATTCAGCATCCGCGTCTGTGGAAATTAATGAGCCCTAACATGACAAAGTGAGTTTGTTTTTCTATCTCTCTGAACAGTGGAGAAAATGACCAATCTAGCAGGGACCCCATTTTTGAAATGCGGAATTTCTTAAATTTTTTGGCGGTATCCATTTAGAATTCCGCCAGGAGTTATCCTGTTATGATGTTTAGTTCGAAAAGCTTCAGCTTGCGCACCAGCTGTAAAGTTCATTGCAATTTTCCAGAGCTTAGCAGAGTTGTGTGGAGTGTAGCACCCCAGTGACATAACCTTTGACCTTTCCGAGAGCTTTGGAATAAGCTTTCGCGAAAGCGTTGCCAACCATTGCAGAAAAGATGAAATAAAAGCACCAAGCTCTCATCCAAGATAATTTCCAAGGGCTGCTTTAGCTTTAGCAAGCTTTATTCATTCATGCATTCATTCATTTACTCATTCAATCATTCATTCATTTGCACCCCCTAAAAGCGTGCTGCAAGCTTACGCATAATGAACCCTTGTGCAAAAGCTTCGCCCAAAAACCCACCCCTGCATTACAGAGCACAGCAGAGCAGAGCAGAGAGCACAAGAGCACAAGCGTCGTCTATGCTTCTGTGCTTCTGTGTGCGTTGGTATGCCGTCAAGCTGCTCTCTCTCGCTCTCTTGTGTGCTGTGTGTGACACAAAGAGGAGTGTCAAGCAGCATAAATTTCAGCATACAAAATTCCACACACAAGCAACGCGTCGAGTAAATTTTCGGCAACTTTTCCGGAGGAAAATCGAGTGTAAATACGCTGAAACAAAATCAAGCTGAAGCTGAAGAAAAATTCAAAGTTCCTAGCTCATAGATCTAAGCAGAAATCGGTGTGAATTAATTCGTTAGCGGTAAATGTTGCAAGTCTCAAACGGTGTGCTGTGTGTTTGTTTTTTTGTTTTTTTTTTTCGGAGTCCAAATGGGCCCAAGTGGCCGATGGGATAAATCAAACAAGTTTCAACGTATAAAAACGCGGCCCCCAGTGAGGCCCGCAGTGCGAATGGAAATCTTTAAGACATCGTGCAATCATAAATAAAACATAAATTATGTTTTGCTGGCAGCAGAAATAAAACCATCAAAAAGGAATGAAAATGCTGAGCAACAAAAGCGTACGAACCCGAGCGGATATATTTTGATTTTTTTTTTATAAATAGAAAAATCAATTTCGCACGCAGCAGCGGCAGCGGCTGTAGCCAGCAAAAAGAGAGAGCACTCTTATGCTCGCTCTCCCAACAACACACACACGCGCGTGCTCCCTCTTTTTTTGTTTGGCGCAAGTGTGGTGCCTGTGTGTGTGTGTGTGTGTGTGTGCAAGGTATATTTGCTGGAGGGTGTCATGCTTTATCATCTATTTGATATCTATTGTGTGTGGTCTGGCCGAGGGCCTTACTTGCGACAGATCTCACCGCAATCTCATGTATTGTCACAACACAAATAAGAGTGGATACACCTCACCCTGCACAAAATACGCCTTGGGCTTGTCTGTGTGTCTATTATAAGTCCAGTGCGAGAGAACCAGTGGCTGCCACTGGCACTGCCTCTGCCCTGTGCCGTTGTGCCATCGAGAGAATAATTGAATCTACTCGTAGTTCAAGTGTTTTTGTTGCACCATTTGTTGTGCTTAATATTGTTATTATTTGTTTAAATTATCGCCAAAAGAAGCCACAAACTACGCAGGAGGCAAAAACGCGCGCGGACCAGCCTCCTCTTTTATCTTAACAAAAAATACTCTAAAGCAGATTCGCATACCCTGCATTAGCTGGTGCCTGGTCCTTGGTCGTTGGTCCTTGGTCCTTGGTCCCTGGTGCCTGGTGCAAAAGTTGATGCCAAACCCTTTCTGATATCCTGTTTACAACAAATTACGAGTTTTGCTGCAAATTGAATTTGTGCCGCACGCAGCAGAAGAAACAAGGAACAAGTGGTTGACAGACAGAGTGCTATCTATAGAGGGGGACGCAGGTCCCAAGTTAATTTCCGTTGCTGTATCACCCACCCCCAACCCCACCACCATCACCATCACCATCAACAAAAAGAATGAAAAAATAAGGAAAATCATTTCTATTTGGTTTGAACTGGATAGAGGTGGTGGAGCAGAGAGGGAGAGGTGCTTGCTGGGGTGGGTGGTTGCCTAAATGGGTGGCTGCTGGGTGTCAGAGTTCCACTAAGAATTCTGGCTGTTGCTGTTCCTGCTGTTCTTATGGAATCTTTCGAAATTGACAACAGCAGCGGCAACAATCTCAACAACAAATCAAATAAATTAAATTTACACACATAGTTAAATTAGTGAAAATTGAATAAAACAGAAGAATAGACGAGACAGAGACAGAGACAGAGACGAGACGAGACAAGAAGAGAAGAGGCACTGAAACGTTTTGATAGAAAACGTAAATAAAAGAGTCTCTGCCTGAGAGAGACAGTGCGGTGCGTGAAAGAGAGCAGCACACCGCCAGAAAACGTGCGAGCAAGTGAGGAGACAGACACAGAACGTGCGGATACGGATACCCCAAGTGGAGGCAACGCTAGAGAGAAGACAGCTCCAGAGAACGTGTGGGAGGAAGTTAGCAGACAGTCCCTCACTGGAAGAGGAAGACCAAAGTGAGAATAAATCGCAAGGAGAGAAGACAGCCCCGTGAGGAGGAGAAACCGCCAGAGAGAGAGCACTGCGGATTGGAGAGACAACCGCCCGCTGGCTCTGCGCCACACACGACCCCACGAGACACGGCACGGCACGGCACGGCGAGGAGAACGTGTCGAGCAACAAATTAATAATAAAATAAAGAAACACACAAATTGAAGAAAACAACAAAAGTCGCAGTAGCAGAGACACACTCACAGGCAGCAGCAGCATCCGAAGCAGCGATAGAAGCAGAAGCAGAAGCAGCCGCGGGAGCAGCAACAACGTTGCCAGAGGCACAGACGGAAGATGGGCTGCGGGCAGAGCAAGATACATTTGTATCCCAGGAAATCGAAGAGTAAAGCTAATGGCAAGAAAGGAGGACATGGTGAGTGTTGGGTGAAAGCGGGTGAAAGAAGGAGGGAGCAACGGGTGGGAGGATATAGAGGTGTCGAGGTCGATCGGGAGGCTACAGAGTTACCTTCCCTTCCCTTCCCTTTAGTTCCAATAACAAAAGCTTACACGCATGACGACATCAATTTGCCTTCAATCTTGCCATACATGTATGTGTGTGTGTGCGTGTGTGTGGCTGTCTCTCTGCGAGTGTGTGCTTGCTTGTATCTGTGTGAGCCACCTGTTTCCACACAATGAGGACATCATTGATTAATATGTCACTAGCAGCAGAACAGAGAAAGAGAAGACCTCTGCTGTTCCCCGAGAGGGGACCCATGCATTCAGCCAAGTAATAAAGGCCTACATTTTTAAAACCCCCATTTAAAAATCCCCATTGTCTATATATATACTATATACACACATCACGTGCATGTGTGTGTGTGCGTGTGTGTGCCTGCTCTTAAGTTTATAAAAATGTACAAATCTAACCTACATGGGCCAAACTTTTGACTATGCCCCACTTCCACTGCACGTTCAACGGTGTTCACCTTCCTTCCCTATCACCACTTCGTCTGCTTCCTCCACTCTATTCTCTTTCTCCTTTGTGCTTTCTCTCTCTCTCTCTCTCTCTCTCTCTCTTTGTGTGAGTGCGTGTGTGTGTGTTTGTGTATAATTAACTGCTAAAAAAGCAACTTGTTGTTGCAATGGGCGCTACGATAAGGTGGGTGTGGTCTGCCCCCAAGGGTCCTACTCTCTCTCTCTCTCTCTTCCTCTTTTTTCATGTGTGTCTGTGGCTGTGTGTGTGCCAAAGGGTTCAAGCCAAAATGTGTAGCATACACAAAGGCGCCATTGTGCCATAAACGACCCAAATTTCTCGTTTCTCGTAGGCGCAAGCTACGCTTACGCTTACGCTTCGTTTCGTACGGGATCCTAGATTAATTATTCATAATAACCTTCGTTTCGTGGCTTTGGATTTCCCTCTTCTCCTTGTTGGATTCGCATTAAAATGCATAACTCCCTTTAATTAAATTTATGGCCATCTTTAAAGAAGAGGCCCAAAGAAATATTAGGTACATAGAAGCAGGTATTGACCGAAAGTTATGAAAGATGAATGTAACTTTCTCGAATTGGTAGGCCACACCATGTCCTGGGAGAGCGCCAAGTGCTGCTATCAATGTGTGTCACCGGGTCTCGGGTTCTCGAACGAACAGCAGTTGCAAGTTCACTTTATTGCTAAAGTTTTGCCACTTTGTGGCACTCTCGGAATTGCCAACTCATCTTCTATAATGTTCTCTGGTCCTTGGTCTCTTCGCAGCCGATTCAGATGCCGAAACGGATGAGGACGAAGGCCACATCGAGGACGCCGAGAAGGCACAGCAACGCGACCGCGAGAAGCACGAGGAGAGCGAGGAGCAAAGCAATAAGGATATCCAGGACTCTGACGAGGATGTGGCCGTGTCACTGCTGCGTGCCAAGAATCTATCGTTGCTGCAAAGCCAGTAAGCAATTCCTATACGAAAGGATCTCCTCTGAATGCCCCACTAACAATGTTCTCCCCATTTCCAGGGAAATATCCTCAAGCCAACAGAACTTTTTCCGCATGCTGGACAGAAAGATCGATGAGGTGAGTACTGAAGATTATTCCGGCAAAACACTCTAGTAACCTATGACCCCTGCAGGGTCCCGACTACGACTCGGCCAGCGAGACGGAAGTCGCCTTGGAGGAGGCACGTCTGAATGCCCTGCGCCAGCATTGGGAGTCCGCGAGCCTCACCGCCTCCATTTGCTCCTCCGCCAGCCGCTCGCTGCAGACTACGCCCATCCGGCAGGTGCAGGTGCCGTTGAAGCAGCCACCGCGAAGCGCAGGGCTCCTACTCCAGCCCTCAGCGGCATGTGGTACGATGGCCGCGACGGAGTATCTACCTCAGCATGTTTTGGCGGGGCGACAACAGCAGCACCAGCAGCAGGCCGCCGTTCTCTACCAGCAACAGCAGCAGCAGCAGCAGCAGCAGCAACAGCAGCTTATCCTCCTGCCCCAGATGGATGCCAACATTGTCCATACGTCCACTGCTGCAGCCGCAGCGCAGCTTGCCCAGCTCCAACAGCAGCAGCAGCTCCAACAGCAGCAACAGATCCATCAGCAGCAGCTCCAACAGCAACAGCAGCAACTGTACCAACAACAGCAGCAGTATATGCTGTCCCTTCCCGCCGGAGTCATGCAGCAGAGCGTCAGTCCCAAGCGACTGATGTATGGAGCGGCGCCCTCGCCGCCGATCAGCTCCTGCCCTGTATCCGCAGCCCCTCCTTCCGTTCAGTATATCACAGCCGGCTCCCAACTCATGCAGCAGCCGGGTGCAGCGGGTTTCCTTAATGGCGCCGGCGCCAGCGGGGTGGGAGTGGGAGTGGGAGTAGGACGAGCGCCTTTGCAGCTGGCCTACTACGGCGCACCGGGCACTCCCCCCCAGGGAGCTGCGACATCGGCTTCCCTGAATGCCCCCGAAACGTACGAAATACAAACCGCTCCACACAGCCAAAGTCAGCAACAGCAAAAGCAGCCGCCACCGCCACCGCCTCCGGGTGGCTACTACGGCGAGATCATGCACGGAGTGCAGGTAGGATCAAAACGAACTTAACTTACAATAGATCCTAATAGATTTTTATGTTCTGTATGTCTTTCCAGCAGGCCGCACCCGCTGCGGAATACAAGTTTCCGGCGGCCATTAGCGTTCAGCGATTGGCGCCGCAAGTGCAGCGGCAGCTGCGCGAGACGCAGGAACTCATAAAAGACTCGTGCCCGCAGCTGTATGCCGCGGGCTATGGCAGCCCAGGACCACCGATACGCAATCCCAGCAGAAATCCAACTAGAACTAGACCCACCCTGGAGACCCAGTTCTCTCAGGAACTATCGTGATATCTATATATGTAACAAACAGCAAGCAAACGCAAACGCAACCGTAGCAAAGGATAAAACCACATTCTGAACAGAATCAGTGTTAGATAAACCGCAGCCAAAGAACAGGAAGAACTAATTAACCAAAACTATAAAATACTACAAGAAAAAAAATCGCGAAAAGCCAAAAAAAAATCGAAGAAAATCAATTAAGAAATTGTAAAACTGCACTCGATGTTTCAGACCCCTCCCGAACCGGGTAGATTGTGCCCCCCCATATACGACAAAACTATACGCGTATTAATTACTAAAACCACGGTTGCCACTATTAGTCCCAAAACACCAAAACTGGTCCTCTTTTTGATCGCTGGCCCACTTTTCCACCAAATGGTCCCTTTTTTTGCTTCTATTCATAGTTTTAATTCGATATTATTACATAAAGATTTTGTACAATGACAAAAGCTATTATATAAACTTCGTTTTATAGGTATAATGTCGGTCAATAGATACCAATATTTCCACCGATCACAATAACGCTCAATACAGCCATAACGACATACAAATGTGAGGTCGACTCTTGCCAAATTTAATGATGATCGTTTTGCGAAATTGATGTCCTATTTTCTGATGCCAAATAGAAGTCAATCGACCCCAAATTCGAGGCTGGTCCCATGGCATTTCTATGAAATCCTTAACAAGCACATTTTCCAAAAGCAACCAACAAAATGAGGCATACTTTTGGGGTTCCTCTTTCACTGTTAAGCATAAGTCCTTAGAGAACTTGAGGTCTCATCCGAACCCAAGAATTCAAGTATACTTTTCCGATCACAAAAAGTAGTGGCACGCTCAGAATGGCGCCAGTAAAGTATGATTGCTACTGATTACAGAAATCATGGCATACCTTTGGGCGGAGCTGTAGTTAAAAAGTAGATGTCCTCCCGGTCACGAAATGACATGCCACGGCCCGATCGGATGCCGTTTGGCAGAGATATAGCGTGCAGAAGAAACCAGTATTTTAATGGTGCGAAAATCAGAATCTTTCGAAGGCTATATCTTAGTCAAATAGGGCCAGATCGGTGAAGGACCAACTTTCCGAGGATCGCGAGGATCCAGCCCGTCGAACGGCATCAAAATCTCGACTAGGAAGACGGGGTCGATTTTTGGCAAATTTAATGATGTAACCATCATGAATTTTTGCGAAAATCGTGAGGACTCGGATGTCCTTTTTTCTGATGCCAATCGCTTGGCAGGACTCTCCCGGTCACGAAATGACATGCCACGGCCCGATCGGATGCCGTTTGGCAGAGATATAGCGTGCAGAAGAAACCAGTATTTTAATGGTGTGAAAATCAGAATCTTTCGAAGGCTATATCTTAGTCAAATAGGGCCAGATCGGTGAAGGACTAACTTTCCCAGGATCGCGAGGATCCAGCCCGTCGAACGGCATCAAAATCTCGACTTCGAAAATGAGGCCGATTTTTGGCAAATTCAATGATGGTTACATCATGAATTTTTGCGAAAATCGTGAGGACTCGGATGTCCTTTTTTCTGATGCCAATCGCTTGGCAGGACTCTCCCGGTCACGAAATGACATGCCACGGCCCGATCGGATGCCGTTTGGCAGAGATATAGCGTGCAGAAGAAACCAGTATTTTAATGGTGTGAAAATCAGAATCTTTCGAAGGCTATATCTTAGTCAAATAGGGCCAGATCGGTGAAGGACTAACTTTCCCAGGATCGCGAGGATCCAGCCCGTCGAACGGCATCAAAATCTCGACTTCGAAAATGAGGCCGATTTTTGGCAAATTCAATGATGGTTACATCATGAATTTTTGCGAAAATCGTGAGGACTCGGATGTCCTTTTTTCTGATGCCAATCGCTTGGCAGGACTCTCCCGGTCACGAAATGACATGCCACGCCCCGATCGGCCCATAAATAGTCAAAATATAGCGTGCAGAAGAAACCAGTATTTTAATGGTGTGAAAATCAGAATCTTTCGAAGGCTATATCTTAGTCAAATAGGGCCAGATCGGTAAAGGACCAACTTTCCCAGGATCGCGAGGATCGAGGAACGGCATCGAAATCTCGACTAGGAAGACGGGGTCGATTTTTGGCAAATTTAATGATGGTTCCTGTACCGTGGAGAATATCCTTTCTTTTATAGAGTCCTTGTAATGGATACATTTTCTTCCCAAGTCAAAGATATGAAATCTTCTCTGCTATTTGTATGCCGCCTTGGGCTGATTTGGCTTCCTGTAATCGTAAGAATGTCTTTGAAGGATTACTTATCAAGGATCAATAATACTTCCCCACATACATATTAAGTTTTCTCTACCATTTCCTGGTTTGGAGATCTGGGCGGTCCATGGCTTCCTGAAATCCCAAAAATATCCTTTTCAATGGGGATTGATACTTTCCCAGGATCGTGAAAGTCCAGACTAATGTTCGGCAACCGAAATCTTGACGAAGAGAAAGGTATCGTGGATTTAAAGCGGCTCAAGAAAGGTCAGTTTTTGGCCTCCAAAACCTATTTCAAGTGGCAACTGTGAAAACAACTACTAAACTTATGCGAAGCAACAAATACAACAAGCATTAAAACTAGACAAAAAATAATATTCACGAGGCAGCCAAAGGATTATTAAAGGAGAGGAGAGGGTAGGAGAAAGCGCAAGGGGTTAATAGATGTAGGAATCGAGTATAGCGTCATAAAGCGATATACAATATATGCAAATGCCACAAATGAAGGGAGAGGAAGCCCCCGAGAACAAAGCAAACACAAATCATACAAAGTACGAGTAAATAATTATATATTGAAATGAAACAGTCTCATGCAAAAATTTTGTTATTCATAATTGTCATGGTGTAATTTTTTAACGATCAAATATTTTTCTGTCCAATTCTCGAAATGGTGTCAGCGATGGACCGTTCGTTGGAGATGATTAACCATTAGCGTATGAAGCTGTCTTGTCTTGTAATATTTGTATAATTTAGTTCTATTGATTATTATGATAATTTTGGATGTATAATAGTTTTTCTTATATGAATATATATATTGTATGTATATGTATATTTAAATGAAAAATAAAAGAAAATCAATTAAGTTTAAACCTTAAAGAGAATGGAAAGCAGACATACCTTTAATTTTTATGAAGTTTGTAGCCAGTGGGATCGATCGGAGAAAGGAGAAAAGAAGAACGCATTCGAATGTCTAATTAATTCCTTTATTCATATCTGTTGTATCAATCAATTCTTGCTCAAAGGCTCACATAAAATGGAATTTCATTCTGTATTATTGGGTGTTAGACTTCATTTTGTGGCTGTTTGTTGTTAGTTGTTTTATTTGATTTTGTTATTTGCTTTGAAGTACGCCGATAGGCAATTAATTAGACTAGTCACATAATATGGTTTAAGATGATATAATACGCGTTTGATTCTAAGAAATTGACATTTTTTGTTGTGTGTCCGTGAGTGTGAAAATTGTTCATGTCTTCGGTTTATACCCAGTTCCTTGTGGGTATAAACCTTTCCGAATTTGTATGTTGATTGTTTTTGGTTGTTTGGAGAGCATTGCAAACATTTGCTTGCAGTGAGTGGTGTGTGCGGTGTCGAATGAATGTTACATACAATATTCGAGAATTGTATATTGAAATCAAATACGCCCAGGGCCGTGGAAATATAAATGCCATCAATATTGCTGATCGGCACTCGAATGCCCTACAAATTTGACTAAACCAAAATCTTATCAACTAATTGGGTTAAGGAAAACGATGAGATTTATCAAATTAAAAGCGTGTTTGATTCCAGTTTAAACCATATTATATAGCTAAGACGTGGGCGGAGATCTACACAGAAGAACGTATCAATGTCGTCGCTCTAGACCAGAATCTCTGGATCGCGGATCTCTGGTCAGTGTGCGTCCTCCAAATAGGTGTGGTTTTCTGTGTGTGGGGGATGTGTGGGGTTTTGGTGTTTTTTGTTTGTTTGTAATGTGTGTGTTTGTAAGCTAAATTAAATACAGCAGAGCCGGGTCTACGTTTTGATAGCTTCTTTAGAAATGGCTTTGTCTGTGTGATTTAGTTTTGTACGGGCAACGGGGGCGGAGGGTAGGCGTAGATGTCGCCGCTGTTGGCCATCATGTAGGGTGCCGCCTGTGTGGGCACAGCATACTGGGGGCGGTAGGAGTTGGGCATGCTTGTCGGTCCGCCGTTGAGGGAAACTGTCGCCATGCTGGAGGACATTGAGGAATACTGTCCATACGCCTGAGGAGGCATACCTCCTGCGGCTCCGGCAGCCACCGCTGCCTGTTGTTGCTGATGTGGTTGCTGAGCCTGCTGCTGCGGATGCTGCTGCTGGTTCACTGGTGGCGGCGGCATATTGGAGAAGTTCATGTTATACGGCGAGAAACGGGAGCGCTTCTGGTCAATGCCGTAGTTGGCAGCAGCTGCCATGGCTGCATGGGCAACTGCGTCGGGCAGCAGCGGCTGTTGCTGCTGTGCATTGAGCTGCTGCTGTTGTGGATTTGCTTGCTGCGGTGCACCTGGGCCGCTCTGTACCTTCGGTTCGAAACAAGCGGCATTGGGGTTGAAGCGCGAGAAGGCAGCTCCGTTCTGCTGCTGCTGCTGATGTTGTTGCTGCTGTCCCTGATATCCCTGGTGGCCCTGGGGACGATAGCCGCCATTGCTGCCCGGATTGGGTGGCGATGTGCGCGGCTTCTGATCGAAGCGTGGGGCGCCACCGCCGCCGTTGAAACCATTGCGATTCATGTTGCCGCCACTGGCGTTGTTGTTGCGGTAGTTATTGCCGCCGTTGTAGCCTCCGCCCATCTGCTGATTGCGACCTTGATAGCCATTGCCGCCGCGGTAACCGCCGCCCATTCCACCTCCGCGCTTGTAGCCTCCGCTCATGGACATGCTCAGCAGCTTTGGATTAATCTCCTGCACAGAGATTGAACGAAAAGTGTGTAAGAAATGGGCAAATGCAACGAGAATGCAACGAGAATGCAACTCCAATGCAGAAGACTCACCTGATTGGCCTCGCGGAGGACTTGGATCAGATCATTGGCCTTGTTGGCATTCGAGTGCGTGAACAAGGTGTATGCTGTGCCCGTGTTATTCGATCTTCCGGTGCGCCCGATGCGGTGCACATAGTCCTCAGAGTTCGAAGGATAATCGTAGTTTATAACGAACTTGACATCGTCAACGTCTGTTTTCATTTCATTTCATTTATATTTTTCATTTCGAATTTGAAAATTGAAGAAGTATGAAAGAAAATGTTAAAAATATCGAATCTTTCCAATATGCGGGGGCGAAAATAGGATTCTTTCTCAATATTTACTCAAAAAACTATTTAACAAAAACGGAAACTTATTCATGTGTGTGTGTGTGTGTGTGTGTTATAGTCTATTTCTGTGTGTGAGTGTTTGTTGTGTCCGTTCGAGTGTACATAGTGTGTGTATGTGTGTGTGTGTGTGTTGGTTAATTGAACTTAAAATACATACTTTATCGAATCGGTCAATGGATTTTGTCGTTCTGTATTTCTGTTTTATCTTTCTTTCTTTTTTGTTTGTTTTTTTTTTTTTAGTTGGTTTTGTACTTTGAACAAAAATTTCGCCATCAATACTATTAGCGTATATTAATAACTATACATCTTTGGCAATTAGATATATGTTTTTTCTATACTGCAGAAATGTGGACCTCGACCTTTGTCTTCTCATCATTCTTAAATATGTTTTTTCTTATGTTCTTTCTTTTCAATACACAAATCGTAATATAAATGTTTTTCTTAAAGCTTAATGCATACAAGAGAGACGGCTTGATTAAAAATTATGATTATAGTTAATATAAGGAACACACATACGGCATACGGCTTGGGTACGGTATGGTTATAAGCTTATGATAGATAGAGGGTGCTCTCTGGATTTGATTAGTTTCACTGGGAATGATTATTCAAGGGGTGCGGGGTGGGGGCTGAATTGGGGTTTTATGGATTCTTGGGGGAGGGGGTGAAGTTTGAAGTTTGAAGGCTGAAGGGTGAAGGGTGACGGTTGAAGGGTGAAGGAAGGGGATCGTATAGCTATGGTTAGGAAGCACTAAATTAGCCTAGTACTTACCCTGACAGCGACCTAGGGTTTAGATTGGGTTAGAGAGATAGATAGGCTTACGCTCAAGTGAGTGTCCCTGTTGATCCTGTCCCTCTGCCTGTGACTCTGCCTGTGCCTGTGCCTGTGGCTATCTCTGTGGCTATCCGTGTCCTGGCTATCTGGACTGGGTCGCCGATCTCCGATCTGCTAGAAACTTAATAACTCAACCCTCAACTTGTATATATGTATAGCTTTTTTCTCATTAACTTTATCTTCTTTGTGTATATGTTTCAACTTTTTCAACTTTAAACTTTTCATTTCTTTCGTTTTGTTTTTAGTTTTTAGTTTTGTTTCTTTTCGTTTTTGTTCATTTTCTTTTTGCCATTTTTAAAAATCGAAGTCCATTTCGTAAAGTGCTGATGATATTTTTGTTCACACACAAATTTCGGTTTTATACATAGAGTAAGGAGCGACGTAATATAAATATAGAATACTTTATGGTACATAAATAAGCTAAGGAAAATTAGCATCAGTCAAAAAACTCGTGGGCCGCAGCAAAATGTTGCAATTACTCAACGTTATTGATTATTTAAATAACTTAAACAACAATAAAAAAAAGTTCAACAAAATAATATAGTATATAGATATTTTTTTTTAAGTTGAGTTTAAAGATTGTTTCCTTGCATTAAGGGATTATTTTGTTCTTTGATTTAAGATTTGAAGGTGCACTGGAATTAGTCACTACAGTTTCGAGTTTCGAGTTTCGAGTTTCGAGTTTTGTTTGGTTTTAGAGTATTTTGCTGGCCGCTGACTCCTTGACTGACAGTAAATTGCATTACGAGTACATGTTAGGGTTACTCAAAACGTGATTCGACGAGACACAACTAAAGACTATGAGCAAGAGAGAGAGAGAGCAACAAACTAACGAACTAAAAGTAGTAATCAAACATCATATAACCAGCAATGCATGGAGAACAAACACATTCCCCTCATTATTTGAGCCCACACCAGTTCTTCACACACCCTTTGACATTCGCAAAGGGTCTTCTAGGTCTTCTAGGGGATTGAAATCGGATGAGGAATCGGATTTTGAGGTGTATCGCGAATCAGGATGCTAAGCGGCGGCTCGCCTCGGAAGGAACCGTGAAATCGTGAAACCGTGGAACCGTACAACCGTTCAACAAAAAACAAAAATCATCGCAATAACAAATGATCTGATTATCTCGGATCGGTTATTAGATTTTGGTTCCGTCTCAGCCGGAGCTGAAGCTGGAGCCGGAGTACAATATAAACTTGGTCTGGACCAGCTCGCATCCCTGCTAAATAATAATAATCTGGGATTATTGGACTTTGGATGCTTCGGATGCCAACAGAAGCTGGAAGAGAGTCGAATAACTTAACATGCAACATATAAACGTAAAATAACTTAACCTATAAATGCAAAAAGGTCAAGCTCCCTCACTTCGGGACAAGTGAGAGACAAGAGATGGAGTAATAGATTCAGATTCAGATTCAGATTGAGAGCGTGAAGGAAGAGCAAGAGGCTGGGTCGGTGTTGGCCGATTCATCGCTGACGGATGCTCTGGGACGAACCAGGAGACGTCGACGACGAATCACAAAATAATGAAAGAAACCCCACGGGATGCTTGATCGATCCACAGGCAACAATTGCTTGGTTATGGAGAGAGAAACAAGAGGTGGCTCTGTGCCGACCAAAATATGTCTACTCACCCAGTCCGCGAGCAGCCACATCTGTGGCGACCAAGATCGAGTGACGTCCATTACGGAAGCTGGACAAGACAAAGTCGCGCTCCTGCTGCGACTTGTCGCCGTGAATGGCACATGCACGCCATCCCTGACGCGAGATATTGCGAGTGATCTCGTCCACTCGCTTCTTGGTCTCCACGAAGATGATGGTCTTGGTCTCGTTTTCGGCCGAGATGTCCGACAGAAGCTTGATCAGCTTCCCCAGCTTTTCGCTCTCGTCGCAGACATCAACGATTTGCAGTATGTTGTGATTGGCGCTCAGCGTGAGCGACCCGATGTTGACCTGTATGTAGTTTGTGAGGAACTCCTCGGCTAGCTGGCGCACTTCCTTGGGCCAGGTGGCTGACCACATCAGCACCTGACGATCCGGACGAATCTGCTGCATGATCTTCCTAATCTGAGGCTCGAAACCCATGTCCAGCATGCGATCGGCCTCATCCAGCACCAGGTAGGTGCATCGCTTCAGCGTAGTGGTTCCACGCTCGAGGAAGTCGATCAGCCGTCCCGGTGTGGCAATCACGATCTCCACGCCACGCTCTAAGTCCCTGGCCTGCTGTCCCTTGGGAGCTCCACCGAAAATGCATGTATTGCGCACATGGGTGTTGCTGCCGAACTCAATGGCCACCTGCTGTATCTGTTGGGCCAGCTCGCGAGTGGGAGCCAGAACCAAGGCAATGGGTCCATCACCACGCTCCAGGCGCGGCTGGTTGTTGATGTGCACTACAGCGGGCAGCACGTAGGCCAGGGTCTTGCCTGACCCAGTCTGGGCCACACCCACCAGGTCGCGTCCACTCAAGGCGATTGGCCAACCTTGGGCCTGGATGGCAGTTGGCTTGGCGAAGCCCTGCTTACGGATCTCGTTCATCACGTAGTCTGGGAAGCCGCCCTCCTCGAAGTCAATACTGGGTGTAGGCACCTGGTCCCCTTTGATAGTGATCTCGTTGTTTGTGAGGAAACTCTCGGTTTCCCCCTGTGTCCTGGCTAGAACCGTATCGCACGGCTTGTAGAAGTTCTTGCGGAACGGAGTCAGATTTACCTCGGACCAGATTATCTTCGGCAGATGTGCGCCGTGTGTGGAGGTGCGGTTATTCTGGTTGCCGCCGAAGCCGTGATCCATGCGTGGACCTTGTCCAGTGCCGTTCATGCGACGTGGCCCGCCATTGCTAGGTCCGGCAAAGCCGGGATAAGGGGCAGAGCGGTTGCGCTGGAACATGCCAACGCCAGCAGCTCCGCCGCCGGGGCCGCCCATGCGATTGGGGGGCATGCCGCCTATTGCACCTGCCCCTCCTCCGTAGGCATTAACCTGTCCGTTATACCTGGAACGACCGTGGTTTATCATGAATACAAATTTAGATCCTTACAATTCAAAGATAAATTTTGAAAAGAAATGTAAAGGTTCTTTTTTTATGTAATTTTTTTCATGATTTACTGCCATTTTGAATTTATTGATTTTCGACTGCTTCGCCGAGTGCCGCCGCTTGTCCGAAAAAACGCGTAAAAAACGCAAAACTAGCTTGGGAAATACTTGTGCACTTACATGTTCATGGTTTTGTGATGTTTAATGTACAATTCTTCGCGAAATTATAAATTTTTATTGTAATTTTTTTTCTGCGTTTTCACTTCACGAAATTTTCCAGCCCCGTAAATGAAGTGTGCCCGCAGATTTGTGAATAAAATATACCACCGGACATTCAGATATATATCGAAATATTCCGTGTCATTTTGAGAATATACCTAAAAATACCGATGGGGAAAACGAACATAGCCCACTTAGCCCCCCTCTTTTTAAACAGGTGAACATCTTCAGTAAAAAAAACGGAAAATGATATGGTATGTAAATTCTCCTTGTATATCCACCCCCTCTCTTTTCTTAAAGCCTAGTACTCAGATCGACGAAATATGCAGTCGACTAAACGTGTGAAAAATTTCATTAGGGGCAGAGTGTGACCAGGTGCACATGCTCTAGGGTTACACTGTTAAAATCGGTTAGAAATTCAAATTTGTATGATATCAAGCAGGAATATATTATGTGCGGGCGCTGTGGAACTGGAGGACTACAATACACATCATGTTCTTATCTCCTTATCAATTAATAAAATTAAAATATAATTGGCTTTCATTCGATTGATTCGATTTTTAGCCGGCTGGCACTTGATCGATTGCTTCCTTCCTGCTGTTCGTCGACGAAAGATCGAATATTTTTATATTTGCTCGTTCCACTAACCATACAGTATACCGTATGGTTAGTGGTGACAGTATACAGCTCGTTCCCAGAAAATACCATCGGTTGCTTTTCCAGTATTAGTCGTTCGGATATCATACGAATATTATTCCTGATTGGTTCGACAAAGCTTAATAGATTGTTCTTGTTCCGATCAGTCGACTGCTGTCTCAGACGTTGATGAATCATGGACTTTGCAAAGGAACTGCAAAATATTTTGGATGAGTTGCGTATTTCCGACAGTGATCGCACCAACTACACTAAGGATGCTATAGAAATCCAAAATCATGTGATTGAGAAATTAAAGTTGGCAGACGATAATTTCCACAAGGCATTTGATGGACTTAGTCTTGGAGGTAGGTTATGGGGCTAGCGGAAACCTTAGTTTTTCGTCAGCCAAATGAGTAATCATTGCTTTTTTTCTAGGAAGCTACTTGGATAGGGTGAAATTGAAAACCCCTGATGAATTTGATTTGCATATGAAGCTGAAGTTTCCATTCCCAATCACCCCGGAGAATGACGAGAAGGGATTCGTGCTCTTGTGTGCAAATTACCACAATCATCCTATCGTAGCCGGCAATTACATAAATCGAAAGAATCTTCAAGATTGGTTACGCGATGCATTCGATAGGGCGTTCAAATCAAAAGTAAGTCTTCGATGCAAGACTGGAGAGGAATATGACGTAATCTACACGGCCAAGGGCTACGGATGTGCCCACACCATTGAAGCTGAGGGGGAGACTCGTTCCATATCGTTCGATATCGTGCCAGCATTCGAGTTCGCTTCGGCCCAGTGGCCGTGCGGCAATCCAGGCATTTATAACAGCCGTAAGAAAAATATGCGTAAATTCCCATGGTTCGCTGTACCGCAACACAAGCCGGGCTCAAGGGACGATCAGCGAACCTTTATGGTATGTGCCCCCCATTGGGAACGCCAGGTAACGCAGGATATGGATAACTTCAAAAATGTGTTGCGCCTGATGAAGGGATTGCGCGACGCTCACGCGACCGATTTTCCTCATCTATCAAGCTACATGATGAAAACTGTCTTGCTCCATCAACTGGGAAAAGTTAGCTGGACAATGAATTTGCCGACTCTCTTTATAAAGATGTGGAAGTGTTTGGTAGATTATCTACTAAGTGGCTATATGAATTTTTTTTTGGCAAATGGCCATAACATTTTTGATCGGATGAGTCGTGGAGAAGTCCACACGTGCTACACTACAGCTTCACGTTTACTTGCGGAGCTTCAGTATGTTGATCTTAATAAAAACTACGACGAAATCGCTAAACTTTTTAAAGTTTTTGATTAAGACAACATTTGTATACATTAAACATTTTGTATTTGTGTTCTATTCTTCCAAATAAATTCATATCTTCGCCGGAAATGCTTGCCTTGCAAAATCTCAGCTTATTTTTCCAGCATCGTTTTTTTTTTTTATCAACACGAAAGAATTCTTCACATTGGGGGTCGAAGCGTTTAATACCCTTCCAGATGGATGTTTCATATGGTGGTCCGATCTGACCGATTCAAGAATGATCTGTCTATTAACTAAATAATAATAAGGAACATTTTATGGAAATAGCTTCAATACTGATAAGACTAGGTAGAGAAGACTAGAACGTAGGTTGTACAGTCGTACGTCTCCATTTCTATGCTCATGCGCTTTCGATCTCCCTATGACGAATTTTTGTTTAATTTAAGTATATTCTGGGATGTCCCGAACTATAAATGCGACGTTAGCAATCGATAAACAGGTACTGCGCACCTTTGTCGAGATAATAAGAAGATAATGAAGAAATAATAAGCCTAAAACGTTACGTTAGCGAAGATTAGGTACAATTTCTGGCAATTTTTTCAGATAATTCAATATGTAAGAGACACATTGTGAAAAATCTTTTCTCAATAATCATCTTTCTTGTAGTATAAATTAATCGAGAAAAATACGAAAAATAAAATACCGAAAAGTGAACTTTTGCTTCTTTGAATGACATGGCGTAATCCGGTGTCATATTCATGCTGATCACAGAAAACATACCATAAATAATTTCTGCTCTGAAACATTAACAGATTCCCTACAGATTCTGCTTGTTGTTCCCACAATACTGCTGACTTAAGCAATCTTCGCTCGGATAAAGCCCAATGGGAGGCAGCATCGATGACTCGACTAAAACGATGATTGAGGGTACGGGACCATTGGCAAGGCTAAACTTTCAAAGAGCTTTGCCGATTCCGATGAATGCCGATGATTGAGGGTACGGGACCATTGGCAAAGGCTAAACTTTCAAAGAGCTTTGCCGATTTCCCCCTTCTTTGAAGGCAGACGGCATCCATGGAACCAATGGAGTGTCGTGAGCATGAAATCCAACATGCCACATAGTACGAGTACCACATTGCATTTGACATTCTAGGTAGGGGGTTTGATTTTATTACTCTTACATATAATTTACATGTTGAGAGGTAATTTAGTTGAAAGAATAATGAGAGCATTTGTTTTTAAATGTGTGTTTTATAGGGTTTACTTAGGAATACTATACTCCTTTAAAATAATCATATTAAAGCTGTCTCTGCTATATGCACACTATACAATTAACGTATAATGACTACAAGTCATACTCGTATGATCTAAGGTTCTAAATTCCTACTTAAGCAAGATCACAGTTGGTACAGGGAGCACCACCCCCTTTCTGAGAGAGAGAGAGAGAGAGAGAGAGAGAGCGGTAGAGAGAGTTCCGCTCTAGAATAGACCCGATCCGGCCATATTCTCGGAGAGGATCATCTTCTGGACATCGCTGAATACCTCGCGGATGCAGCGTGTGTCAGTGGCCACGGTGAAGTGGTAGTAGCACTCCCGCTCGGAGGTGATCAGATCGCTGTTGTTGCGCGAATGACGCTTGAAGGGCTCCTGGGTGATATCCACGAGCTTCTGCTTAATGAACATCTTCGTCCAGTCGCACTCATCAAAGCAATTATCCTGCTGCGGCCGCTTGCAGAACTCCTCGTACTCTGGGAAATAGTCGACGATGTGCTTTCCAGCCCTGATCTTCCGCTCCATGATGTCGTACTTATTGATAAACACAATCAGGCCGGCGGAGGCGAGGAAACGGTTCTGCCAGACGCGCCGGAACAGCTTGAGGGCCTCCTCCAGGCGGTTCTGGTTAGGATCCTCGCGCAGATTCTGATCGAATTCGCTGCACGAGACAAGAAACAGCACTGCCTGTATGCCCTCGAACACCTGGATCCATTTGTTGCGCTGATCTCTCTGTCCCCCCACATCGTACATGCGGAACTCCTGCTCGCCGCCGCCCAAGCTCTTGGGCACGGGCACCCGGAAGGTGATTTGCGAGATGCCAGTGGTGATCTTCCGACTGTGTAAGATGTCCTCAGTGCTGGGTATATACTCGCAATCGCTGATCCTCACAAAGTTGTCGAGAAAGCTGTAGAATGGAGAGAAAATAATCATTTAGTAAGGCATAATCCTTCAAGATTTGTGGCCCTGAAGATAACTTACTATTTGGCACTGTCCAGCAGGGGGAATTCATTCGAGCGATCGTAGCAGGCACGGATACCGACATCGTTCCACAGAGTCATGACGTGGTCACAGTACTCCTAAAATGCAAATAAACAATTTGCTTTAGTATACATATTTGGTATTAGTCATTGAGTAAAGCATAAAACCATGAATGACTGGCATGTGGCCTCCAACAAACGCCCCACCCACCCACTACCCACTACCCTCAAAAAAGTCTTGTCTTAATCTTATCGTATCGTATCGTATAAGCCATATAATGACCAGAGAATAAAAGATAGATAGACGCTGGCTCTCGCTCTCTTTACAGTGGACTACGACGATGATTCAGCCGGCGGGCGACGATCAAAGGCCATTCATCCGGACAATTGCAGCTGTGCGCCACTATTCACGTAAAATCAAAAGTCGTTTCGAGGAAGTCCGATTTTTCGATCGGACAAACACCAGAAACACTTGCTTGGAAAGTTTTTAGACATTCCAGAACGCAACTTAATGGATCGTAATGGTAATGGTAATCAATCACACCGCCAGATACATGGAGAGAGATAACAGAAAAATCGATTCAGCGAGCTGGAGGAGATTTGACGCAAGTCTAATGCTTGTGGCAACGTCAAAGTCGTTTGCTTGATACCAACTGCGACAAAACATTCTGAAGTGCAGCGAGCAGGGATAAGATACAGCACTAGCACTTTGACAGCCCCCATGTCAAAGCCCCCCACTTGAGGCCACCTAAGACAGACGCCGCCTGCTCACCTCATTCATGTACTCCGGAGCACCTCCGGGCAGCGACAGGATATAGTCGGCACTGCGTTCGCTGGTGCAGCTGCCAAAGTCCAGGCCCAGGAGGCCCATCTGCAGCACTAGCTGGTGGATCGAGTCGTGGATGTTCTGATAGATTTCAGGGATACGATCGCGACGCTCACTACAGAGAGAGAGAGAGAGAGAGGAGATCCTTGAGCATTAGGTAGAAGTGAGAATCAAGGGAGAAACTTACTCATCCGTAAAGCCATTGATATGCAGTATTCTCATCTGTTTGAAGATGGTGGTCTTGCCGGACTCGGCAGTACCCAGCAGCAGTATCTTCACGGGGGAGTCGCTGAATCGCTTCTGCATGTCCTTGATCATGTGATTGCGCACCACTTGGAGCTCCTCCTTCTGAGCGGTTGATTGTTTAGCCGACGGCTGGCGCAACCATCGGAGAGGTCTGCAAAAAAAAAACAAAAAACAGAAGGCAAATTTACTTAGCGACTTGTTTTGCGACTTCTAAGGAAAACACGCGACACGGTCAACACGATCAGTGCTAGCTAGCGGGAAAAGAACAGATCTATATATAGGAATGGTAAATGTTTGCATACACCCCGAAAGAGGCACACAGAGACCCAAACGATACGATACCATACCATACCATACCATTCCCCCAACTACGGGCTCTAACGATGCGCTTGGCCCTGATGTATGTTTAATTAAAAGCACACAGAGCCGATACAGAGCAGGCACAGATACTGCTGGGTGGTGCGGAGCGAAGCGGTGCGGTGCGGTGCTACAACCGACGGAGAATACGCAATAGATAAAACCGCAATGGACCCGAATCGTGGTCGTGGGTGCTGCTGCTTAGTGACGGTCTGAAAGCGAATCTGACGCATTGGCGGCGGCTTTTTTTGCCAATACGAGTATTCCCTTCCCCAGAACCGAGAACCAGAACTACAAACTTTAATTAGAAAGAGGGTGCAGATCAGAAGATATAGATACTGAAGCTCGAGTGTTCACGAGCAGCGTTCAGGCATTATTACATATATCGAAAAGGATATTGAACAAAGTCTCTTCTAGAAATCACATGGAATCGATGATGAAATAATACAAGAATCAAGTTAATTCAGCATCTAGCATACCTCGTGATCAATTGGGACGATTGGGGCTTGAACATGAATGAAGATACTCGTATCAATAGTGCGGTGTTCGCATTCCAGACAGCCAGATTGCCCCGAAAAAAACATGGCCCATATCCACTTTTAATTTGGGGCACTAATTGCAGTAATTGGCAGTGGAGTGGAAACGTTCTGCAAGCCCCAAAAACCAGACGCACTTTGGCACCAGAGCATTATTATACGAGTATCTGGTTTATATAGCGCCATTTGAGTCAGGTTGAAATCGTTCATGCCACAATCGAATCGAATCGATTCATTGGGGGAGCGATGTGGCTGGGGAATGGCTGGGCAGGGCGTTTGCAAACTTTATGAGGGGCAATTCTAATTGGGCGATTGCCAAAGCTTACTCAAGACCAATGGCTTTGGCTCTGGCGCTGGATGGATTTCGAGCTTATCAAGGCGCCCGCCACTCCAGAGATACGGGACCCAAGCGTTATCAAGCCATTCGGCATCGAATGCACCATCCCATCCGACCCACCAGCTCCGCGATGCATGATGAAACCTTCCTTCATTTGTATGTTTTAATTTTTAGGGCATTAACCATAACCTATCCACCAAAAAGGTCGATCTTTCTGATGAATCATAAATATCGGCCCCCACCCACTTTCATTGGAAACAGGGAAAAATTGGGAATTTCTAGGTGGGCGTTGGTGTGGCTATCTTTACGGTACTCACTGTAATTTCATACTTGATTTTAACGGGGGCCTTCATAAATGTAGCCAATAGCGAATTTATGGCTGTTTACAGAAAAAAGAAAAGACAAACCAGAAAAAGGAAACCCAATCGGTGGTCCGTTGACCTCATACCCATGCGCTTGCCTGGCAACAGAACACTATATCCATCGCCGTGAAGGGAAACAAATAAACACTGGCCGTCGTGACAGGTGTCAAATGGAAACTTGGAAACGTGGAAACGTGGAAGC